AAAGGGCGGTGCCCCTGTCATGAAAAACCAGGGCATTTGTCACAAAATGTAGCCCGAGGGTTGGGCTAGGCCCTAGACAAATCGAGCCAGGCCAGGGCCATTGACAAAACCATCTCGACTTTATTTTTTGCAATGTGTTTTGAAGTGGATTAGCCATTACTATTTTGTTTATGAATGGATTAGCCCTTACCTATACGATTTCCTCTCGTTCTCTCTCCCTATTTTTATTTCTTATTTTTTTTGCCACCTGTCCATCTTTCCTCTTCCTGGACACGATTTTTTCTAGTCTCTCTCTCCCTCTTATACTTTTCCTTAAATCTCTCTCCTATCTCTCTTTTACGTTTCTATCACTCTCCCTCGTTCCTAAGCCTTACTCCCATTTATTTTTCTAAAATCTCTAGTCTTTCCCATATTCTCTATTGTTTCTCTTTTTCTCCTTCTTTCATAAAATCTCTCTCACATTTACTTTCCTAAATCTCCCCTTCTCAAAGGTCTCTCTATCTCAACCGTTTCCCGTCTCTCTCAACGGTTTCTGTCTCTCTATTTATTTTTCTCTATCATGCAGAATAACTCCCAAAAAACATATAATAAAGAAACCTATTATTTCTCTCTCCCTACCACGTATGTGCTGCTCTATTTTATTCTCTCAAACTTGCCCTACTTCTAATTAATTATAATTAATGTGTCTTTGTGATAATTCCCATCATAAATCTCTCCTATAATATTTTCCCTATTTCACTTATCTCTTTATCCTTTAATCGCTCTCAATCTCTCCCTCCCAAAATATGATTTTTAAGAAAAATGTTTTCCATACTCTCAGCATAAACCCTCATGCCCCAACCCAAAAGCCTTTCATGCCCCACTTTATCCTAGGAGAAAATAATGTATGTATCTGTCTATCAAGTTCATTTCTTTATTTATCTCTCACAATGATTTTTTACCTTAAAATATTTTCCTAAGAGAAAGTAGAATGCATGATGTCTGTCTCTATCTCTATGTAGTATATTTTTCAAATTGTAATATGATTTATTTATTTACATATATAAGACAAGTGGTTTGATATCTCTCTCACAGGTTGTGAAATTCAATTAGATTTGGAAAAAATTAAGGATTTAGATTCTTGAATAGTTATAATTTTTTATTGTAAACTTGATTAAAGTAATAAAATAATAGTGTATTTTTGAAATTATAATATGATTTTTTTATATATAAGAAATAAGTGGTTTGATCTCTCTCTCATAGGTTGTGAAAGTCAATTAGATTGACAAAAACAAAGGATTTAGAATTTTGAAGAGTACTAACTTTTTATTGTAAACTTGAACATTGTAATAATATAGTAGTATATTTTTTTCAAATAGTAATATGATTTTTTTACATGTAGAAAATAAGTGGTTTGGTCTCTCTCTCATAGGTCGTGAAACTCAATTGATTGAAAATCTAAGGATTTAGATTCTTGAATAGTTCTAATTTTTTATTATAATATTAAAAATAGTAATAAAATAATATTTATTATTAATAATATTATTACTATTTTATTTTTATTATTATTTATTTTGATTGCCTATAATTTATTTAGTTATGTTATTGCCTCTTCTAGCTTTCTCTTGGTATTTTCCAATTGTATTATGCCACTATTATGAAAAAATATTTTAATTTTTGTTTTATAAGTTACTTTTATCATAAAAGTAAAATCTATGGATCTTAAATGCTAATATAAAAAAGGATTTTTTTCCTTCTTGATTCTTATGTTAGATTATATCAATTTTGTTCTTATCTCAATTTCACCATTATGATTTTAATTATATTTTATAATATTTTAGTTTTTTTTAATATTTTAACATTACATTAGTTTTTCTTTAACAGTAATAGCTTTATCTGGCTATTTTCTACAAGTATTATTGCTTCATTAGAACTCTATATTATGAAACAAAAATTAAAGGTCAAAATAGAGATAAAAACAAAGTCGATTTATCATTTAACATAATAATCAAGAAGAAAATTAATATTTTTCTTTAGTATTCAAGAACAACAACAACAACAACAACAACAACAACAACAACAACAACCACAACAACAACAACAACAACAACAACAACAACAAGAACAACAAGAAGAAGAAGAAGAAGAAGAAGAAAAACAACAACAACAACAATATTTTATTATTATTATTATTATTATTATTATTATTTTAATAAATAAAATAGTAAAATAATTTAGTCCCTTTATTATTAATTTGTTTTAGAGGTACAATAAAATATTAATGTTAATACTAATATTAATAATAGAACCAAAATAAAATAAAAATTTTGTCCCTATCTTAATTTTTGCATTTGCGTATTTTAACTATAATTTTTATATTTTAAAAGTTTTATGACTACGTTAACATTACATTAGTTCTCTAAGGACAATACTATATTTTTTTTCATGTGATTGAGCATTTATAAAATTTGATTATTTTTTTTTAGGTACTCAAAAAATTGTTTATTTTCTAATTATGAATTTTGAATTATTAAAATTTCGTTCATAACTGATATGTTGTGATGACATGTCCTCTTACTTTTTCTTACTAGTTTTCATTTGCACTATGTCCTCCTTGATTCTTCTATCTAAAATAATCTTGAAAATCTATTTAAAATAATCTTCAAATCTTTTGATACATTTTGTCTTTTTTTTATGACAAATATTATTTATGAATTATTGCTTTCTTTAATGCTTTTTAAAAAAAAATTATATTTCTGAAGTTAATGCAATATAAAAAACACAGCTTATTTAAAATGCACATCCCTCATTAATAAGTACGTATTTTTTATTACGAATAATTTATCTATCTCACATTCAAGTTATTATTTCTCTGGTGCAATAAGAAGCGCGTAACGCAATAAAAAAAAGTACATATTTTTATTTATGATAATTTATATCTCTCACTTAAGTTACTATTTCTCATATTTATGTTTAATGGGAAACATGTGGGTTAAGGAAAAAAATTTGTGTTAATCTCACTTATCAACCCTAAATCTCTCCCTTGCTCACTCTTTCCTTTTGTTTTGTCTTTTTTTATTTATTTTTTAAGATCGTACTCTTTCCTTATCTTTCGCAATCTCTTTTTCCTTAAATCTCTCTCCCCTCTTATTGTTGAAATTAGGTATTGATCAAGGTATATAAATTCTTATCATTCTTTTGTTTATAATAAGGTTAATGCTTCTTTGGCATGCCTTAATGGATTAATATATTAAATATAGACGTTAAGATGATCTAATGTCTTAAACTAATATATTTGATATTATCATTAGTAAGACCCCGTATAATTTATCTATTACTTTCATTTATATAATTTAACTTTTATTTAAATCATCTTTATTAATTTAATTGTGTGTTAAATGGATCAGTGTTAATTAAGAATATATTAGAAGTAATATTTACTATCGTATTTACTATTAATTAATAAATATTCAATTATGAAGATAAATGCATTAAATTCTCTCTCTCTAACACTTTGTGTTATAAAAAAAATTCAATGATAAATATATTTCAGTGATTAATATTAAATATCATGTGCAATACACATGCATATTACTAATTAAAATTAATGAGAGAACGTTTATAACTAGATGTCCCTAGTCTAGTCTATTATTAGAGGTCAAACCGTCTTCTCTCTATGTCTCTTTGGGGGTGGCAATGGGTTGGGCGGGTTTGGGTCTCGGTTACCCGACCCAACTAGGTTTCACTTGCACTCAGACATGATCACAGTCCAACTCACTTGAACACAGACGCGACCAAGACTTGGATCGGTCCAAATCATTTGGACCTAGACCCGACCTGGGCCCGGGTCTAGAAATTAAAAAAGATAAAAAAATTATTTTACATATTATGTAATATATATTTTAATGTGCGGTCAGATTGGGTGGGGTCAACCCAAACTCGAACCTGTATCCGACCCGACCCTATTAGGTCCATGCTAGATCTGGATCCGGTTCGAGTCTATGTCATTTGGAATCAGACCCAATACGGTTTTGTTTGAAGTCATTTGGACCTAAACCAGACCCACAAGGTTGAAAACATGAATCCCGATTCGATTCACGTCGACCCACCGGACCTCCATCCCTACTTTTTCTCGCTTCTACACAGTGTCCCAACTCTTGCACTCTACGCGCTACTCTTTGACCTCACTCTCGTTCTTCTCTCTTCCAAGCCCATTCCAAGCTCTCTGTCTCTTTTGCACTATTAAAAATTTCATGAAATATTATTAATCCGTTGTAAAAACTATAGTGACAATTATATAAGTTTAAATGCAAATATTTTGTTGAATCAATATATTTCTTCAGGAATGGTTCAATTTATAATTAAAATTATTTCAATTATAATTATTCTAATTATTCTTGACTATTATAGTATTCTAAACCTTGACTAAAAATTTCATGAAATATTATTAATCCTTTGTAAAAACTATAATGATAATTATATAAGTTTAAATGCAAATACTTTGTTGAAACAATATATTTCTTAAAGAATGGTTCAATTTATAACCAAAATTATTTCATTCATAATTATTCTAAGTATTCTTGACTATTCTAGTATTTTAAAAGATGACACATGATAATACTTTTAACAATACTAATTTATAATATTGCAACTTTTTTTACAACAAGTACAAATATAATTAGAATCCTAATTAGATATTATGAATAAGTTATACCCATCTAAATATACTTACCCAATGTATAATTAATAACAAAATTATGATGATTAAATAAATTGTAATAATATCCTTTGAACTTAATTTTCTATATTAATTTTTTATTTGTTATTTTAAAAATTATCACATAAACAATTACTCATTTCCCTAAAACTATCCAATACAAAATCACATAGGATAAAATAAAAGCATGTTCATATTTATTCTCTATAGCTTTTTTCTGCTATTTATTTCCAAATAACAACAGCTTATTACTGTTACATATAGAAGAGAAATCCTTAGTTAACCTTCCCCTGCAAGGACATGCCTAGCATAAGACCCCGTTGCCTGGTTTGGGTTCATGGATGGGTCCATTGTCCATGATATCATCCACAAATGCCTGCATATTTCGTTCAGATGAGCCACACTTTGCCACCGATGCCCTCGCCATTTCCTTGCATCTTGCTGCTGCCTTCTTCATTTCTGTCGCCTTCTCGCCGTCCGTCACCTCTGCGATGCACCTCTCCACTTCATCTCTAGTGACAAGGTCCACTTTTAGTCGAACACCCACTCTGAGCACGTCCACTAGGAACATGGCATTAGTGGGTTGGTCCGTCCACTGGGGGAACGCGATCACTGGTACTCCGGCAGCAACTGTCTCCAATGTCGAGTTCCACCCACAGTGAGTTAGGAAACATGCCAGTGAAGGATGGCTGAGCACTTCCACCTGAGGGCACCATGGCACCACTATCCCCTGCCCCTCGACCCCTTCCAAGAATCCCTCTGGTAAACCTGTTTCAGATGAATTTTCTGGCGGCTTGACCACCCAAATGAATGCCCGTCGGCTTATCTTAAGCCCCCAAGCCATCTCCTCCGTCTGCTTCGGAGGTAGCACTGAAACGCTCCCAAGCGACACGTACACAACTGAACCTTCTGGCTTGGAGTCCAGCCAAGACAAGCAGTTTGAAGGGGCGACCCACATGTCTTTTCGGAGACGCGGGGCAGTCGGGCATCCGAGCAGCGCCTGTGGTATGAGTGGCCCAACAAGCTTCATTAGGTGTAGGCCCTCTGCAAACCAGATCTCCTCAGGCTCGAGCTCATTAAATGAGTTGCCCAACACCATTTTCACGTCCCCGAGCTTCTCGTAGAGCTGCGTCAAGAGCAATGGGAATCTGTTGTAAGTGCTCGATGGCGAAGCCAAGGTCGGAAAATCCTCAGGCTTCAGGTGTGGCAGTCCGGGGAACGTCAATGGAACCTCCATTTCTGCTCGGTTCCGATGAAGAACGCGATAATAGTAGCCATAGACTGCACAACATTGGATCCACAGTAATGAACATGGGACTCCAAGCCCTTTGGCCAAGTCAATGACCCATGGTGTGAAGGGGGTCGTGACCATGTAGGTGACCTTGCGGCCCTGTACTCGTAGGTCCTCAACAAGGCCGGCAAGGCTCTCCGGCCCCTCTCTCTCAAGCCTACCAAGGCAGTCATCAAGGTCTTTGATGGGCATCAGTGGATCCGAACCGTCTGAGAAAAACTCGAACTTGATGTTCCCGTCTGCCTCGAAGGCGGTGGCTTTGTCGCCGTCCTTTAGGATGCGCTGGCGCCCGATGGCAGCGGTGGCGACGGTGATGCTTATGCCCCTGGAGGCTAGACGCCCTGCAAATTGGAGCACAGGGTTTATGTGGCCCTGTGCTGCATAGCAAACCAGCATCACATGCTTAGTTTCACTACCCATTTCCATATTTTCTCCCAACTTTGAAAAAGAAAAATGCCTGGGAGTTGTATATGTAGTGTTCTATCATGTTCAAATTATCTCAAGCCCAAGTGCCATGTGGTGCATAATTGTTAACTCCATAGGTTTAGACTCATGCTCAGGACTAAGTCCTTAATTAAGGAGAAAATTTCTGATTAGTACACACTTATTGAGGACATTAAGTACAAACCATTTTTAAGAATTGGACATCGAATACAAACCATTTTTAGGAATTGCATGAGAAAGTAAATTGAATTGCGAAGAAAAGTTGAACCCACCAATGGCACACACTTATTTTTAGGAGTTGGACATTGAATACAAACCATTTTTAGGAATTTAATGAGAAAATAAATTGAATTACAAAGGAAAGTTGAACCTACCAATGGCTAATTTCTGTTGACCAGTATTTATAGAAGTAACATGCATGCTTGCATGTGTCACCAAATTGTTAAGAGGCCAGTACATGTAAGGTTTTAAGATTAATGGTAGACACCATATTTCGTATTCACAACATAAAAGTGTTTTTCTTCTTCTTTTTTTGAACAATAAAAGAACAAATTTTGGATGGCAAAGGGCGGTGCCTCTGTCATGAAAAACCAGGGCATTTGTCACAAAATGTAGCCCGTGGGTTGGGCTAGGTCCTAGTCAAATCGAGCCAGGCCAAGGTCCATGACAAAGCCGTCCCGACTTTATTTTTAGCATTGTGTTTATGAGTGGATTAGCCGTTATTATTATGTTTATAAGTGGATTAGCCCTTACCTACGCGATTTTCTCTCTTCGCTCTCCCTTTATTTATTTATTTATTTTTTACCACCTGTCTATTTTTTCTCTTTCTTAATAAATCCCTCCTCCCACAGAACCGATTTTCTTTTTATTCTCTCTCCCTCTTACACCTTTCCTTAAATCTCTCTTATCTCTCTCTTACGTTTCTATCACTCTCCCTCGTTCCTAAACGTTTCTCCCATTTATTTTCCTAAAATCTCACATCTTTCCCATATTGTCTATTGTTTCTCTCTTTCTCTCTTTTATAAAATCTCTCTCTCATTTACTTTCCTAAATCTCCCCCTCTCAAATGTCTCTCTATCTCAACGGTTTCCCTCTCTCTCAACAGTTTCTTTTATGCTGCTCTTTTTTATTCTATCAAACTTGCCCTACTTGTAATTAATTACAATTAATGCGTCAATGTGATAATTTTCATCTGATATTTCTCCTATAATATTTTTCCTATTTCACTTATCTCTTTATCATTTAATCTCTCTCAATCTCACCCTCCCAAAATATGTTTTTAGGAAAAATGTCTTCCATACTCTCTCACCATAAACCCTCACGCCCCAACCCAAAAGCTTATCATGCCCCACTTTATCCTATGAGAAAATATTGTATTTCTATCAAGTTCATTTCTTTATTGATCTCTCACAAAGATTTTTTACATCAAAATATTTTCCTAAGAGAAAAGTAGAATGCATGATGTCTGTCTCTATCTCTATGTTGCATATTTTTCAAATTGTAATATGATATTTTTATTTACATATATAAAACAAGTGGTTCGATATCTCTTTCACAGGTCATGAAATTCAATTAGATTGAAAAAAATGAAGGATTTAGATTCTTGAATAGCTCTAATTTTTTATTGTAAACTTGAACATAGTAATAAAATAGTAGTATATTTTGCAAATTCTACTATGAGTTTTTTACATGTAGGAAATAAGTGGTTTGATCTCTCTCTCACAGGTCGTGAAACTCAATTAGCTCTAAAAAAACTAAGGATTTAGATTTTTGAATAGTTCTAACTTTTATTGTAAACTTGAACATAGTAATAATATAGTAGTATATTTTTCAAACAGTAATATGATTCTCTACATGTAGAAAATAAATGGTTTGATCTCTCTCTCATAGTTCGTGAAACTCAATTGATTGAAAAATCTAAGGATTTAGATTCTTGAATAGTTCTAATTTTTTATTATAATATCAAACATAGTAATAAAAATAATATTTATTATTAATCATATTATTAATAATATTATTACTATTTTATTTTTTTTATTTTTTATTTTGATTGCCTATAATTTATTTAGTTATTTTATCATCTCTTCTAGCTTTCTCTTGGTATTTTCCCAGTTGTATTATGAAATTATTTAAATTTTTGTTTATAAGTTATTTAATCATAAGGTAAAGCCCGTGGATCTTAAATGCTAATATAAAAAATGGTTTTTT